CAATGCTTGAGTGTTCAGCAGCAGGTGTTGGAGGTGCAGCTTGGTCAAGAACGCGGCTCGTTGGGCGGCTGCCTCAGGCGTCGACAAGGGGCGCCTCGGGGCGAAAGACTCGGTCGTTGCGGGCAAGCCAGACGGTGTGGAGCACGCACGCGCGGAGGATCGGCCACATCATGGCCACGGCGCGCCGACGGTAGCGTTGGGCTGTCACCAGCGGTTCGAAGAGGAGCGCGGAAAGCGTCGTGGGAAGTTCGAGCTCGAGGGTGTCGACGAGCGGCTGAAAGACCGCCCACACGGCAGTGACAAATTCGCAACGAAGCAGAAGATGGTCGTACGTCTCGAGGTCGCCGCAGACGGGACAGACTTGGGCGTCATCGGCCAGAAAGTAGAGCCGGGAGCGGATCGCGACGGCGCCAAGCACCACACGGTACATGAAGTCGGCGTATCTTGGCAGGATGTGCTCGGGTTGGCGGTACTCGACGGCTGCAGCCACCACGGCCGGCGTGGCAAAGTGGTCGTCGGGGAGTTGCAGATATCTCGTGGGAAGGAGGCACTGGGCCGCGACGTCGTGTCGGCGTCGACAAGCGTGTCGTGCTTCCGTCGTCGACTACCTAGATCACGACCTCAGTGTACACAACAAAGAAAGTCCGACATTTCTATTTCACTTTGAATTGCATCTATTTTAATAGACGGCCCACTTTCACACCAACGCACGAGCGGCATTGGCCCCCGCCAGCCTTGGTTGTCGCGTGGCGGATCCGCGTTTTATGAAGGGCTACAACGGGCAAAAAATGCGATGCTCCTGCGTGCCTTGGCCACGATCTCATGAGGTAATAGCCCGTTTGCATTTTGGCTCCAGATCCGAAAGGACGCCGACCACAAAGTCGAGCATGGTGGTCAGAACATATGCGTGCACTGTACTCTTCCTCCTTGAAGCCTACCCACATTACCTATGTTGAAGTCGCAGCCGACTATCGACTCGCAGCATCTGCGAATGGTTATTGGGCCGTGTCGTGTGTCGTGCTATTAGACCTCACGCCGCACCATCACAAAGCGCAACACAGTATGCAAGGACAGTTCTACCGTTCTCCTCCCGGCTGACATGGCGAAACAAGAAGATGAACTGGAAAAAGTGCAAGTGTGCGTCGGATGAAGGCTGCCTTGTATATTTCAAATGTCGCGGCGGCATGCGCATTCACGCAACGATGCGGATCGCTCTGTCGTTGTTGTTCAAGTCTATTTGGTTGTGACTGAACTGTGTTCAGAGGACGCGTCGCTGGTCGCTCTCCGCGACGACCCTTGATGTGCACGCTATCTGGTCCCTCGCACAATCAATCTCGACTCACGACCACTAGCGCTCCTCGCTGACGCACCACCCACGCCTCACGAGTGCATTAGGTCCACCTTATCTTAATAATTGCATGCAATAACTCGGTTCAACAACAACTGTGTTCAGCGGTCGATTTTGACTCAGAGCGAGTTGCGACTGACGGCAGCGGCGAGGCGTATGAAGCGCAAGCCGGAACGAGATGGGCGCGAAGCGAGGCGTCGTGGCGCAGGGCGTTCATCATTTGGAAGAAAGATCGTTTTGCAGTTGTTGAAGAGAGTCTCGTTTTGCACTGAACTGTATGAAATCACTCTGTGATCACATGTAGGATCGTTGCACCGCGCCCATCTCGCCCTCGACTAAGAAGAACTTTCTAGCCCATCTCCTTCGTGTGTACGTATGCTTGTTTTAGACGAGGACAGGGCTAAAAGATCGAGCGACCTGCAATACAGCCAGAGAAAAGCAACATGGAACACTAATGTCTCCGAGGATCGTGACGCAGCATGTCGCTGCACAAGTATGCGAGCGCGACAGGTCGTCGCTCCTGCGGTACCTGTGATAGCGTCATGCTGAACGCACTGGTCGCGTCAGAATTTCTCGAAACCGCTCCACGATGAACGCCCACGGTATTCGCTGGCTCCCAAGGCGACTTGAAACAATGCGCTCGGACGAAGAAGTATGGCGATCATAAGTCCGCCAATAGTGCGGAAAATATATGTCAACGTCACTGCGACACGATCACGAGGCCAGTGCTCGTGTTGCTTTGGCCCGCCGCCGGACCGAGCGTATGGCTCTGTTTACCTGTCGAGAGGCAGACCGGGCCAGACGATGAATCCAGCTCATGCGCCCATGCGTTGATGGCAGCTGTTGTCATGTCATTTGGTTGTTTGCCTAACTCCAAGAACAAAAGCGTGTAGGCATGGGGTGTAGGTAGGACGAGCTCGAAGATCGCCCAACTTGCATGCTTGATGATGCACACGACGTTGCCTCTACACAGAGATAAGCAAGGACCACGAGCAATGCTACCTATATTCACTTGCTCCTCCGTGCCTGTCGGAGGCATTTTATCCCACCCCCGCAATGTGTCTCATCTTACTCAACACTAATTCACTAACGAGTACCAAGGGATAGCGAGCACGATCGACAACAACAAGAGCCACGGTCGCTGAGTAACCTCCGATCCCGCATTGTATACAGTATGGATTTCTGTACATGTAGTACGCGCATTCTACAACATGTGGCGTGTCGCGAGCAAACATGCAAGTCAGATGGATCGGTCATCCCGTGCTTGGCATCTTCCATGCACACTTTTCATTTTTTCGCATCAAGAGATGAAGTACTTCAACCCGCATGGACCTGCCCCCACGCGCAAGCCCAAGGTGCATGCCAAGCCGACAGTCACGGGGGTCTGGTCCCCCGACGAGCACAAACGATTTCTCATTGCGCTCGAGCAGTTTCCCCACGGACCCTGGAAGGCAATTGCGCTGCACGTCGGGACGCGCACCGCACGCCAGACGCAAACGCATGCGCAAAAGTACCGTCAAAAGCTCATTCGGAAAGTACCCTGTCCCGACGAAGCCAAAAAAGTCATGTTCAGCCTCGTCCAGCGCGACCTGAGCGACACTCTGGCCGACAGTAGCGCCGCATCCTCTCCGCAGCAGCCCCCCGTCGCGGTCAAGAGTGAAGACGACGACATATTCAGCGCTGTCGACGAACTCAACGACGCTCTCACTCTCCTTCCATCCCTCGACACGTGCTTGGACTTTTTCTGGACAGCGCTACTGGCCGAGTCCGATGCCTAATTCTCCACAAATCTAATATTTATAGATACATATACATTCCTCTTTTCACACTGACGTCCTCATCTTGTGTAAATGTTAAAAACGAAGCCACCGTGTATGTTGCTTCAACTCGCACAGGGCGCATCGTCTCCATTCCATGGGTTGGAGGATCATTATGCGCCAAATGAAGTCGTCTTGACGAGCAGCGGAAGACGTGGGGCCGCGTGAGCCTTGCGCCGCGCCTCGAGCGCTTGGTTGAGTGACTTGAGCTCCTCCATGAGCTCCTCCTCACTATGGTCCATGACACGACTACAAGTCAGCCGCAGAGTAAAAGTGTCATACCGGTCCGTCAACTGCGTGCGCAAAAAGCTCGTCTCGGAATCCTGTTTGTGTGTTGCCGCTGCTTGGTTCTGTCTGCCCTGGACGGCGGTGCGCGTGCTAATGCGAGGGAATCTCTCGGGTCGCGCGTTGAGGAACGGCGAGAGCACTCCCTGCACAGTGTACAACCTGACACCCTCCCCGATGGTGGCGCGTACCAGCCGGGTCCGCGCGTCGGCCCGTCGCCGCAGCTTGTCGTGTTTGATGCGATACGCCATGCGGCAGTGATACCCTCGAAAGCACGCTTGAATACGCGTCGCTGCCTGCATTTGCCGCAGACTGGGCTTGCGTCGAGGAACCTTTTTCTTGGTTTTGGTGTTGCCGTCGTTCCACGCGCGGACTGGTAGCTTGTCCAGCTGCAAGCGCGGTATCGCGCGCTCGGACCGTATGTTGCTAGCAGTGTTTGTTTGCTGCCATGGCGCCAGTGTCGAGGTTGGGACCGAGAGGTGCCATGGCTGTACGACCACGGGATGCGGAACCAGCGGTGGAATCGACCGTCGGCGCTCGGAGGAAAGGGCCTCGGAGCGCGCAGCCTCTGGCGTGTGTTGCTCTTTATGGCCATGGTCGATATTGACGGCGAAAGAGACACGCGCTCCGTGTGTTGAAACAGCTGGTGATACTTGGCGTTCTGGTTGGAACTCAATGATCCGGGCCGCCTCTTCCATTAAAAGGCCGTTCCCATCGTCGCTCTCGGTCGAGTCGACTTGCTGGCATTGAGTTGTTGTATCGCGCGTCGATGTCGTCGGCGGCAGTGTAGTGGCAGGCACGTTGCGCGGGTCGTCAAGACGGAGTGGGCCATCGACCCGCGTGCGACCGTTGATACTCCTTGTGGGTGATATATCATCTGTTTGTAGTGGCATTGCAGCATCTGAGATCTTGATCCACTGGCTCTCTGGACACGCAATGTCGGACGATGTCGCCGACGCTTTGTGCATGGCACTTGACTCTGCGACGCTCGTATCCAGTGGGAGCAGCCCCATGGAGGCCTCTGGTTCAGTCCTCGGTACGTCCAGTGGCGTTGGAGGACGAATAATTGCCGACATGTCAGAATCAAAGCGGTCCATCGTAGTCTCTCCCACCAGCGCGTTCTCGACGCAATCGCTGTAGCTGCCAAAGACTGCGCCGTTGATCTGGTCACCGATC